ATTACATAATCATTACTATCATTACTATAAATCATTATTAATATTATCATTGAACTATTTGTATAATATTTCTATAAAAAAGGGTAAATATTAAAACGCCTTTGTACTCGTCTAGGTTTCGGAGGCTTACGCTTGGCTATGTCACCTCTTCACGCCTCATACTTTTTAGAACACTGGATTAAAGTGATTGTAAGGATATTTTTAAGTTCACTACAATGAAAAGTTTGAATCTAATTTTAATCAGTAAAAGTTATTAAGTCACATTTTAACTATTTTCCTTATTTTAGTCATATATTGAGATTATTTGTTTTTATTAAATTACTTTTTCAGTTCTAATTTTGGTAAATTTATATGCCGTATTTGTTAGATTTGGGACTCGACACATCTTTTTTGTGTTAAAAATGAGAAAAGTATGATTTTTTGGATAACATTATTTAATATTATATATTTATATTTAAATATTTAAAATAGCTCTAGGAAAACTAAAATAAAGGATAAATAATTAAAACGTCTTTTCACGCCTAAGCCCCACCTAATCTCGCATAGGCTCCAAAGGCTTAAGACTTGGTCGTCCCGCCTCGACACACCTTACACCTTTTAGAACAGATTTGATTGGGAAAATGATAAGGCTTTGGGAATTGCTCGCTTGGATCAGCAACGTAACCCTTCCGTCCTCCAACAGTTTCAACTTCTTTTTTTGTTGTTCAAAGAGCCATCCAATCATTTAATTTATTTATTTTCTACGAATATATAATTAGCCACATGCTGCAGCCTGCAGTTTAGCTTTCCAAGAAGCTAGTATTACTTTTTATTTATTTTAAGAAATAAATTACTTTAAATTGCACTTTTAAATTTTAAAATCGAGAAAAGTTATACCCGTATTCCCAAATTCTTACGTTATATATCACTCCACGTCTGTACCTGAATTTGTACCTGAAATTTGATATGGATAAATTAGACTTAATGAAAAAAATGTTAAAAGAATTTCATCAAAAAATTGCACCAGGAACCGCCCCACATGGAGACGGCTAGGCAGATCTGTTGAGTGTGTTTCGGAAAATAAAGAATATTAATTAAAATAAATTAATTAAAATAAAATGACTAGAGAAAAGCAAGAAAGGAGATGAAGCAGAATTAGTCAAAGCTCGTGCTACGCACGATGCCCTTAAAACGTATTTGTTGCCTCCCACGGTGCTAGGAGCGTTGCAACAATCATTTCCCAAAATACGATGACTACGAACTAACGTTTGAGCACACAAACAAAAGTTCCAACGAACGAGGACACAATATGAACACAGAGAGAATTTTCAGATTGCTAGCAGTGTGTTTTAGAGGTGCAAAACGTGCATGAAGTGTATGAATTCGTTTGTTGTTGCAAACCACCTGCCAGCCATTATATAGGAGGATTTGTTGTGTGTAAATGGTGAATTAATGGACCTGAACGTTGGACATCAATGACCAGTCCGTTGGGCATTGAATCGTCCATGAACTATCCACTTAACGCTGCATTTAAAGATAAGAACGTTGGACATTTATTGCTGTAACGGTTCAGAAGGCCTCCCAACAGAACTCCCTGGAAGGGGTTCTGTTCGCGGCCAACAAAAGACCCTGTGAGGGTTTCTGTTACGCGGCCACCAGAAGACCCCAAGAGGGTCTCTGTCCCGCGGCCACCAGAAGACCCCAAGAAGGGTTCTGGTACGCGGCCATCAGAACACCAACGAGGTGTTCTGTTCGAAGCCTTTCTGTCAACTGGGAAAATTTTACGTTTCGGGAAGAAAACAAAAATTATCCGTTTCTCTTGAGAGAAGGATTTTTGAACGACATTCGTGTCCGCAGGTCACTCACGGTTTTTTCTTCTCCGAATTCGGGATTTGATTTGCACCCCCCCCCCCCCCCCCTCGCGCGTGGAGAGAGCCTTTACCCTTAGGAATCTTAACTTCATGAGGGGGGAGTCCCTTTATAGAGGGTTGCAAATCCCTTGGGTTTTCCGGTGTGGGAAATTAACACACAAGAAACACATCCTTTTTCCCTTCTAACGGGTAAACTTCGAAAAACAATTTCTCATTCACCCGTTATCCGTTTTGAGCGTACCATATATCGAATTGTAGCCCTAAGCAAGGACAATCCAAAACCACTTTGACCCAACCCAAATCGAAAGTGGACCCCACTCAAAAAATTTCCCCAAAATAGCCATTTAATGCCATTTTTCACACATTTTTCCAACAAGATCATCTTATATAAGGGGTGATTTACACTTTTTTAGTTAGTTCAAGGACTTATTTGCCCCTTTTCCCTAAAAGATTTTATACTGCATTCATTTTGTAGGATAATTGATCTCAACCGAGACACACTCTTGGTCTGCTTCATAAAGAGCAATCAACTTTGTGTGATTTGATAATATGTTAGTTAATGTTTGCTCCATTGATCTCCACAAGATAGTGACATCACCATATGTGAATAAATATCATGTTTGTGATTTTACCGTTTGTGGATCGGCAAGTATCCTGCATCGGCATATCTAATTAATTAATGTGGCATTTTGCACAATATTATTCTTGTAATACAATCCAAGTTTGATTAAACCATTGAGATAATCAAATATATGTTTGACGTCATTCCAATGTCACTTTTGGAAGATATGTATCTAGCTAATAAACTTGCATCAAAAGCAATATCTCATCGGGTATTATAAGCCAATACATTAATGCTCCAATAACACTCGAATATGGTACTTCAAGATCAAGATTTCTTCATCATCCTCACAAGATCAGAAATGATTATCATGCACAACGAGCGATCGAATTACCCTTGAAGAGTTAATTGGGTGTGTTTTATTTGTTTTTATAAAAAAATTGGTTGTTCTAAGAAATTTCTCGGGCTCTTGTGGTGTGTATTTTTTTGTGTCTTCCAAAATAGAGTTTTCATGTTTTTTTTGAACTAAACTGACTTAGCTATTATTAATAAGCTCATGAGCCAAAGCATTCAAAATACATGAGGGAGGATCATACAACCAAACTTGACAACCAGACCAAGAAATGCATACTCTCGCTAATTCATGAGCAGTCCGGTTCGCTGATCGTCAAACAAAGAGTTTTCATGTTTTTATTTTCTAAATTTGTATAATTAGTACTCCGTATCATGTTTTGATAATATCGGAGTTTAAACATCACAATATTTTCCTTTTTTTCTGACCCACAAATGCAAAGTGCGCATGAGAACTACTTTGTCTCATGTTTTGAGAGTTGTTGACCCGACAACGACCTGTACGAGATATCAAATTAAATTATCACGACCTCATGCAATTAAACTACTTCGTAGCATTCATACATTTTCATTTGACAAAAAACGATTATGACTAATTACATTATTATAAAATATTTAGAGCTGGTTTGCAAATGCTTTAAAAAAATCACTTCTAAGTTTTTGGCTTAAAAAATATCTTATTTTATCTAACACTGTCAACTTTTATTTTTCTCGACTTTCGTGTCAAAAGTGTTTTTATTTTTTCTATTACACAAAAAACATTTATTTTACCAAATACTATCAACCTTTATTTTTCAAATTCACTTTTTTCTCAAACACTATCAACTTTTATTTAATCACTTCTCCCCATTTCACTAAAAAAACACCTTTTTAAAAGCTGAAGCTGCCGCTAAGAGACTCCCATGATCGAGCATAGTAGAGATAAACGTACGTACATTTCAATTTGGTTGATATAGTGGCCGGGAGAAAGACAAAAATCACGAAACCAAACCGGCCAGCTCTTCAACGAATAGTCTAACCTGCGCCTATATATTGCTGCGGCAAAAGTGTTTAGATTTGTGAATGGGCAAGCTAAGTGGGATTAATTAATTATCACGATTATTGGTTACCTTTTCTATACGTATTTGTTATTACTCAATACTGACCGAAGTTCTAACCATATTAAGTGATCAGTGTTACGCAACTTCAATGTAAATAAAAATGTGAGGAAATAATTAATAATCATCTCTTATCAATCAATTTTTCCACTAAACATGTATCTTTTCATTTCGTGACCACATATCTTTTGAATTCACGCGCTGTATTGCGTAATAATAGGAAAAGGTAATGTTTGATCAAGTTACTTTTTTGGCTGTATTGACTGGAATTACACCCTAAAGGATCATGCTAGCTATTGTTTTATACTCCGTATAATTTTTCTTTATTTTATTAATAAAATATATTTTAAATATATTTTCACATAAATCACCAAAATGAGTTAAATCTAGCCACTTCAAATTAAAGAGTACTTAATGAGTTTCAACAAAATCTGTTGATTCAGCCAATTTTAATATTACCAAATGAGCACTATATTAACCGGTTACACGTGTTTATTTCTTATTTTTAGTGTAAAAAATTTCAGGCAAAAAAATTCAAAAAATATTCTTTATAGTGGTCCAGTCCGGTACATAACACTAGGAATAAAATCAGATTGAGTCATATACTCCGTATTAAAAAAAGATACTCGTATGTCCTTTTAGTCCCAAATAAGCTAATTTTTCTTTAAACTTAACAAATGCGCTATATAAATATGAACTTCAGCTTAGCGAGTAAAATCAACTTAAATAATGTCATTTTATCAAGTGACATTGTTGTCAACTTTTCATGAAGCAAATTAAATTACAATCATCAAACAATAATAATATCATCATAGCGCAAAATAAATGCCACTTTATCCATAATATCACATAATGGCACAATGTAACAATATATTTTTATGATAGCACGCATACTCTTTTTTTATGTGAAAATATAGTAATTTTTATTTAAGACTTGCCTTATTTTTAATCTTATCTTATTTTTTAACATGCGCCAATGCAAAGTCACAGCACACGCGTCAATAGTTTAGCGGACGAACCGTGACGTGGGCCAATGAGAGGAGCCGGGGCGCCTTTTCCCATGCAGCGCACGTTAGCACATCGCGCGTATTTATATTCAATTTTCCCACCTCTTTTCATTTCTTCCCCATTCTTCTTTCAGTCAGTCAGTCGCCCACTTGCGTGCTCCTTAATCAATAAAATATAAATAAGTAATCGCCTAAAATATTCAGGCTTCCTTCTTTCCTTCTCTTCTCTCCATCATAGCCGCCTTCTTCATTCACTAATCTCTTCTTCTCCTTCAATTCCTGATCTTAAAAGGTATGCAAATTTCACTTGATAATTATGAGTTTATTTGGATCTCTCTGTCTGATCTGTTCATATGAAAAACCGTGATTACGGACATACTGGGCACCTAGCAGGCCGGTGATTATTTTATGCAAACGATCGATGATGAAGGATCAAACTTGAAGCGAGGATTCCACACAAATTAATATTTCTATACATATGCATAAGCCATATACACTAGCTGCATTATTACTTTAAGTTTTGATTGCTGAAGGAGGTGTAGTTGAATGTATTGTTAATTCCGTCTTCGTTGATTCCAGTCGTGAAATTTTGCAGAATTTGTTAAGTTTTTTGCGGCAGGGAGGCGTTGTTGACTCGTTATCGTTCAAGCTTGCAAGTCTCTGTCTCCAGAGAGAGAGAGAGAAAGTGAGGGTGAGCTTTTTTGGAGTTCACGTGAGGTTTGTGAAAATGCCGCACAGAACGACTTACTTCTTTCCGAGGCAATTTCCAGACAGAGGCAGCGGATTCGACGCGTCTTCTTCGTCAAAGTTCCTTTTGGATCACGAGAAGACCGGAGGGGGTCAAAATGGGGGAAAGTCTGGAAAGGAGGATAGCGATGAAGTTTCATACGCTTCCTCCCGTTTTGATGCATCTGAAAGCGTCACTGGAGGAGACAAAATTCACGGGAAGCAATTGACCGCTTTTGTCAACTGGCTGACTGAGAAAAAGGTTAAAGACAAATCATCGCATCATCAGATTCCTCAAGCCGAATTCGAAGTAGGATGCGAAGATGGTGGTGTGAAGGATGAGGGCGGTGGTGAATACCGCCCCCTCTTGCTTCCAATTCCACCGGAGGCGGTGCCAAAAGTTGCTTCCTCTGACCACCGCCCATCACGTGAACACAGACCATCAGTAATCAGGCCGAAGGATCAGAATGCTTCGTCCTTTCGACATCTAGCCACTGGGGCATCGTCCAGGAAAGAGAATGGCGGGTTGGGGTTGGCTAAGCAACCCGCATTGCAGCGGCCACCGGTTACTGATAGCAATCGCGTTAGGGTTCCGGGGAAGGACAAAGGACTTGATGTTGAAAGGCAAGCATCCTTGCAGCGGCTTTCAAGTGCGGGCAGCATTAGCTATGCTTTGAGTTTGTTTTCAGAGTCACCATTGGATGGGAACTGGCCGAATACCGGATTCAACTATTCACACACGTCGACCACCTCTGGCTCAGATGAGAATGAAGTGGTTCCGAGGTTGAAGGAGAGCTATTACTTGCAGCTCACGCTTGCCAGAAGCATTGTTGAGCAAGCAACTATCGCTATTGATGAGCCTCTGCAAGAATGCATGAGTGTCAAGGGTCTACCAGTATGTTCTGATGCTCAGACAGTGTCCTTCCGCCTCTGGGTACGTAAGGAGTATTTAATCTAAATTTCTCCATCAAATCCTATAAGGTATGCTGTATCCCGTATGCAGTTTTTTATATGTGAATCAGGTTTTCCAGCCAAAATTAACAGTAGTGTTTGTGGATCGTTCTTTGCACACATCAATCATTAAGTGTGACATTCAAATTCCATGTCTAATTTTTCAGGTAAGTGGGTGCTTGTCATATTTTGATAAGATAACAGATGGATTTTACAACATCTTGGGAATGAATCCATATTTGTGGGTGATGTGCAATAACATGGAGGAAGGTAGTAGATTACCATCTCTGATGGCCCTTAAAGGTACTGAACACAGTGATACATCTATGGAAGTGGTCCTCATTGATCGGCGTGGGGATGCTAAGCTCAGGGAACTAGAAGATAAAGCTCAAGAAATATTTTTTGCTGCAGAGAATACACTTGTTTTAGCAGAAAAGCTTGGAAAACTAGTTGCTGTCCATATGGGGTGAGTGTGTATTTTTAAGTGGCGCGTTTCTTCCACCTTCATTTGCCTCTTACCGATGAGACTGTCAACTTTGTTGAATTTAAGGGGATCTTTTCTCATGGAGCAAGGTGATCTTTACCAGCGCTGGGAAATTCTCAGCAATAGACTTAAGGATATGCATAGGTGCATCGTTCTCCCAATTGGCAATTTATCTGCAGGGCTTTGCAGGCATAGGGCTGTTTTGTTCAAGGTGATTCTTTAAGGCCCACTGTTTACTTATTGCGGAAAGGCCGTTAAAACTTTTGGCCTTTCTCATCTTGCATTCGTTTTTATCCGCATTCATTTCTTTGTGGTCATAATCATTATTTGTCTGTTCTACAGAAATTGGCAGACTATGTGGGGTTGCCATGCAGAATAGCTAGAGGTTGCAAGTATTGTGTTGAAGATCACCGGTCTTCATGTCTCATAAAGATTGTGGATGACAGAAAAAATGCTTGGTGAAGTAATTTTCCTTATGTTTAAAGATGTCAAGCTTACTAGTAGAGTAGGGTGTCCGAGGAAGCATTAAGGAATTTAGAGAAGTTGGTTCATGTTTTCTGTTCGTTAGAGTCTGGGATAAAAAAAAAATTAAAAAGGAGTCCCACATCTGAAAATAAGGAGAGAAAATAGATTGATAGGTTAATAAGGCATTGGATTGAACTAGCAAGTATATTGGATTCAAGCCTGACTTCCATCACTATTTCATATGCATTAATTTTGTAATATTTATATTCACCGTATACTGTTACATTAAATGTTTGGTTGCATAGTGCATACGTCGTCATACATAGTCCATGCATGGGGAGCCCTTTAGTTGCAAGCTTCAGAGTCTTCTTGAATATCGATTGCAGCTTGTTTATGCTTTCTTAACAGGGAATTTGTAGTTGATCTAGTAGGGGAACCAGGAAATGTGCATGGCCCAGATTCATCTATTAATGCAAGTGATCTTTGCTCTGTGCCTTCCCCCTTTCAAGTTGCTCATCTCAAGGAATTCCAGCTACCTAACATGGATGCTAATACCAGTTGTCAACTACTGGATTCAAATCGTGGACTTCTTCGTGCAGGAAATTTTACGTATTTAGGTATGTTCTGTCCAAATCATGAACTTTGCTATCAAGTTCTGCATGAAATTTTGCGTACTGGGAGCACCATGAAATTTTGTGAAGACAGTAGTTTCTCCATTTTGTATTCAAAGAACATTAAGAAAAATTCTCAATACTTTGCAAATTCATATTTGGATGTACTCTTGTTCTTTTTTGGATATAGTGCAATCACTAGAGCTACTCACTAAAACTCTCATTCTTTTTGCATCTACAGAAAAAGAAAATCGATCGGTGCATGATATTGTCCTGATGGACAAGCCCAAAAGTTTCTGGTGCAGTCCAAATCAGTTTTCTGAAATCAAATCACCTGAGATACTTACCACTACAGGTGGTGTAATTACAAGAGATGAATATAATAAACCCAGGGATCAAAGTAACATAGCTCTATTCCAGAATAGCATACAAGAGATTGTTCAGCCTAGATCACCTCCATTTGCTGGTGGGCATCCCAGCATAAGTAAATATGTGGAGAGTGAGCTTACACTTGAGAATCTGAAGCATTCGGAAGCTACCCTTCCAAAATACCTGAATCTTGAACCATCTCTTGCAATGGATTGGCTCGAGATCTCATGGGATGAGTTACATATTAAGGAGCGTGTTGGGGCTGGTACATTTTCTCTCTTTTCTTTCAACCCCCAACTAGTGCTAATAAAAAGTTGTCTTCTTAATGGTGTCAGATTGTTGTTTTGTCAGACTAACACCAGTTAAAATACCTTGATGCAGGTTCTTTTGGAACTGTACATCGAGCTGAATGGAATGGATCTGTAAGTAATAAACTTGATTTTTTAGTAGTCTATGTTCTAACTTTGTTTTAGTTAAGTAGTTTATTTCACTTGAATATTAATTTCAATTGCACCTTGGTTGAAGCACTTCACTAGTTTTTAAATATGAATGAATTAAAATATGAAAGGGAGAGGTCATTCAAAAAGGCTAGGTTCTTTAATTTGAAACTTACGGTACTAATGGGCTTATTAAATGAAGCAGATGAACCCGCTAAGAATGGGCTGCCATCATTCAGCAAATTCATTAACTTTTTTAAAGAAATTCAGCACTACACTTACTTGTTGATGTGCAATGTAGTTTTTGTTAAGAATACATGCCACGTGCATGTGTGATCATCCCAGTTCATTGCTATGATCAACCATATTTTGTTTTAATAGTTTCACAGTAATGTTTCTTTTCATACAATATGGAGTATGCATTGCTGGCAAATCACTCATAAGATGCAGCAGTTGCAAACGAGGTAGCTACTTAAAATGAGTTTAAACGGTCATTGTTAAGAAATTTAAAGGGAGGGGGATAACTGTCAAATAGGTCCTCGAACTTTCATAAAAAGGTCAATTAAGTCCTTCTATAAGAGGTTCTGTCCGGCCTTCGCGATTTGGGGCAGTTCCCGGTGGAATTTTTTGATGAAATTTTTTGAGCATCTTATTCACCAAGTCTAGTTTACTCATACCAAATGTCAGCTAAAAATTTAATCGGGAACACATTGAAATTAATTCTTGAAAATAACTGCGCATTTTTGCGTTCTCGAATTAATTTGAATGTGTTCCCGATTGAATATTTAGCTGAAATTTGGTATGAGTAAACTAGACTTGATGAATAAGATGCTCAAAAAATTTCATCAAAAAATTCCACCTGGAACCGCCCCAAATCGCGACGACCAGACAAAGTCTCCTATAGAAGGACTTAATTGACTTTTTTATGAAAGTTCGAGGACCTATTTGACAGTTTTCCCAAATTTAAATTTAGAGAATGGTTTTTGGCAGAATGTATATTCAGAATATAATTTGAATTTAGAGAAGGGTTTCTGCATGATTTTATATTCAGAATGTATCAATTTAAAAAGGGAGAACCCTCATTGCAGGATGTTGCAGTCAAGGTGCTCTCTGTCCAAGATTTTGAAGATGACCAATTAAGGGAGTTTCTAAGGGAGGTATGTACCTGCATCAGTGAAGCTAAATGATCAAAGACTCTTGCTTATTTACTTTTTTTCTTCTTTTTTTTTTGTTTCCATTCATGATGTAATCATTTTTTCTGAGAACTGGGAAAATATAAAGGAGGAACTGTCACATAATGCTTCTTTGTAGCTGAATCTTTACGTAAGAAGTTTTGGTAAATGGATTTCGTGCATGTATATTAAAGTGTTGTTATACGTTTCTAGACATTACGGTTTGTTTTATCTCCTACATTGCATATCTATCCTTAGTGGTAGAACCGTAGAAGTACCGTATATCAGGTGGACTAAAAGCTGTGGGAGTTCCATCATGTGTCTCTGTATATGTGCTTTGTGTTCCATGATTTTCTGAACAAATGTTAACTTTTAGATGTTGATTCAAGAAACTATCTTTTGAAGGTTGCAATAATGAAGCGTGTCCGTCATCCAAATGTGGTTCTCTTCATGGGTGCAGTCACTAAACGTCCACATCTATCCATAGTGACGGAATATCTACCTAGGTATTTGGTCCTACATATATGTAGCATAAACTCCCAAAATCATTCCGAACGCTCAGTATTATCATTGATATCATCATTATAATTACTGTTATGATCATTATATTTATTATTATCTAAGAACATTTTTTGTCTGTCTTTTGGATGCAGGGGAAGTCTATATCGCTTAATACACCGACCAGCTAATGGGGAAATGATGGATCAAAGGAGGCGCTTACGAATGGCTTTGGATGTGGTTTGTCCTGACGTCAAACATTGTCTCTTTTTTCGATGCATGTATTTTTTTCTGATACACATATGAAATGCAGGCCAAGGGTATCAACTATCTTCATTGCCTTAGCCCCCCTGTGGTTCACTGGGACCTTAAATCTCCTAATCTCTTGGTTGACAAGAATTGGACTGTGAAGGTAAAGAATATGCTGCTACTATGTACTGTACGGAATTGTGAAATTGTTTTATCAACATTGCTTACTTTATCTTATATCATCATTTTGCTCAGGTGTGTGATTTTGGTTTGTCAAGGTTTAAACCTAATACATTCATATCTTCCAAATCAGTTGCAGGAACGGTAAGTCCTTTCTAGCATTTGCATACGGAGTATTCAGATTCAGCTTGTATATAAAGCCTACTAAAAAGCTATTTTTGTGTGGGAAAATGAAGTTACCCACTTGAGGTTATGTTATAATTGCTAACCTACCTTGTTTTCAAAAGACAATTAGTTACTCATTAAGTCTAATATTTAATGAGTAAAATTTATCTCATTTGACACCATGTAGGTCAAGTCTGATAAAAATTGTCTAAAATGTCCATTTTTAAAAGCAGTGCTTTAAAAGGCGCTAGGCGCTAGTCGGGCAGTGACTGGCCACCTAGCGCCTAGCCCGCCTAGGCGCGGACTAGGGCGCGCAGGTATTTCCCTTATTTTTTTGCTTTATTTGTATTTCCAAAGAATTTTAACAATATTTACTAATAATTTAATAGTATTTTGACAATAGAAATAGCTCATATAATCATTAAATATTAATTTTTTTGTAGTAAATTATCAACAATAGAATAATTAATAGATAAAATGATAGATTTGTGTTTTTTAGTCTCTAAAAAGTTTATATGTATTCCTTTAAAAATTATTTTTTATTTTCGGAATATTAAAAAAAATATCGGAATAGAATTCTTATTGATCAAAGGATGTTTTAAGACAAAACAGAAAAATTAAGTTGGGTCGGGAACAAATTTAGGCCGAGCCGACTGGCCGATCTTTCCCACCGATTACAACAAAATCAGGGCGTCCGGCTACCGCCTAGCGACTAGGTGGCGCCTAGGCCAATTTTTAGAACCATGCTTAAGAGTAATAACGTTTATCCTTAAGTGATTAGTGGCGCTTGTTGTTCCATTGCCATGGCTTATGATGATTAATAAGAAGTGATTTGACCTTGAGATAGATATTTTAGACAATTTCCTTCAGATTTTGTTTCCTTTTTTTTCAAAGCTCAATAGCTTATGAAAAACAAGATTAGACTACGGTTAATGACTTAATGTTAAGGGGTAAACACTGATTTTTCCTTTTTATATTGATCTTCTGAGTACTAATGGAATCCAACATGTTGATGCAGCCTGAGTGGATGGCCCCTGAATTTCTTCGTGGGGAACCATCAAATGAGAAGTCAGATGTGTACAGTTTTGGTGTCATTTTGTGGGAGCTTATTACCCTTGAACAGCCTTGGTCTGGACTCTGCCCTGCTCAGGTTTGCATACCTTCCTCTACATGCTTTGCTGTTTCTGCTTCAACTTTTGATATTTCTTCCTTAAGGGTGATCTGAATTTTGTCCAATTATCAGATTGTTGGAGCTGTTGCTTTCCAAAACAGAAGGCTTTCTATGCCAGAGAACATTTCTCCAACAATGGCATCTCTCATTGAAGCTTGCTGGGATGAGTAAGCTCTAAACAAACATTTTGTCAACTGTATTTCTTGCACCATTTCCTTGTGCTGAGAATCAAGAACCCTACATGGTTTGTCTATGAAAAAGCCTGGGGCAACCCCCACCCGAATTAGTCGGGCAGTGTAGGCTTGACAACCATTTGGTTCCAAGTTTTATCCCCGTTTTCTTGGTTTGGGATTATCGGCTATGAATTATGTTAGGCTGACTTATCTCCTTATTGCCCTTCTCCTGCTAGGGTCACTAGTCGGATACAGGTTCTCCTTCATTTAGAAAAATGAAAAATTAGCATTTTAAATTGATGAGTACTTCGCTAGGGGTGGGCGGAGCTAGGCCCTGGCCCACCCCAAATTTTAAAAATGGCTTAATTTTTAAAGTAAAAAATTTCGTGTAATTTTTTTTTAAAAATATTCTTTGTACCGGTCTAGTCCGGCCTAGTGTCCTGAATCCTCTATTATGGACACGATTATGGATACGATTGAAAATGCTAAAATTTAGGGGTGAGTGATTCTACTTATTGGTGTGTCTTTGGTATGACAAAGTTTGTTTTAGGCTCTGTTCGCAATCACTTAAACTAAATGATTGTGGCTTTTTTTAAGAAAAAAACACTTATTTTGCCAAACACTACCAACTTTTACTTTCTCGGTTTTCGTGTAGAATCTACTTTTTACTTTTTCTATTACACAAAAAGCACTTATTTGACAAAACACTACCAACTTTTACTACTAATCACTTTTTCCTAAAAGTACTTTTATTTAAACACAAGTGATTGCAAACAAAGTCTTAGTTTCTTTGAGAACTCAATAAAATATTAAAATTGATAATTTGGGTGGAGATTATTGAAACAAGAGTCAGAGACCCACTAGAATATAGCTACTCTAGTTCAATTGAATTCAATGCCTTCAAGTGCATGCATCTCTATATAATTTATCTTATCCAATGTCTATTTTAACTATCTCAAATTCCGCAATTTATACCGTGGGATCGCCACCATGAGCATGGTGTGCCGATCCCAAAACGGCAGCGTTTTCTTTATTAATTAAAACAGGGAGTGAAGAAACCCTGAAACCCATCGTCTTCTCCAACGTAACTTCTATCCCTGCGGCCAAACATCAATTTATTTCCTGACATGAATGCTCTTGAACCTTCCTGCTCAATCAAATTCATTTATTATACTTTGTATATATGTATTATAGATAGGAGCCGCCGCCTTGGATATCGTTTCCGCCGCCATGGATATTGATTTTCCGCTTGCGGAAATCTGGAACAGAGACGTGTAGTAAATCGTATTTCAAATTAGCAAGTAATTTAGGAGACCTTGCTTCAGTTGCTTCTAGTATTGCCGACGAGTTCGCCGTATTCTTCACCGTGACTAAAGGCTAGAGTTGTCTCTAATTATTACGTTAGAATGCCCTTAATTACATATCCTTTAAAAGAACTTACGTTAGAACTTGCACCCACATACATTTCGAGCAAATGAGATTTACATTTGACTATCTCACCATGTTACATTTTAATGAACGTGATTTACATCTGAACTTGTCTGAAGTTATATTTTAATATACCTGATTTACATTTCGTATATAACCAGCGATAGAATAACTTCTGAAAGGAGTAAAGTTACATTCCAGAGCATGAGTTACATTTATTCATAACTGAAATTACATTTAGTATTACGCGAGTTACATCATTTATGTGCACGAGTTATATTTGGACTTCTCTTAACAAGTTACATTTAATATTATATGGAGTTACATATTATTATGTACGAGTTACATTTTATTATGTCTGAGTTACATCTTTTTATGCGAGAGTCACATTTGGGCTTGCCTTAACAAGTTACATTTTGCATACACCTAAGTTAGTTTTTACATCAAACCGAATAACATTTTTCATAACACGAGTTACATCAAAAAATAAACCTCTTTTATTGAAACAAAAAAAATGAATCAAATTTTTTGCAAAAAAAATGATTTTTTGGGGAAAACTTGATGTCTTTGAAACTTTTTATGGTCTTAATATAAAAAAAATACATATTCACCATTTAGGTAAAGTTATTTAGCAATTAGATTCCTTTTTTATTATTTACATTGAAATCAATGTTTTAGACAAGTTACATATCGACTTGCTTGCATTGACATTTCTTATTAAGTTGTGTTACATTTATTTACACGCGAGTTACATCACTATGCTACTGGAACAATAAAAAAATAAAAACGGTTACTGTTCACGCGTGTACTGTTCACGCGTGAAAATTTTCAATTTTTTTTAAATGCAAACTGCGTCGTTTTGAAAGTAGGAGCAGGGTGCTCACCGTGGGAAGATCCCACGGTATACGAACTGCTCAAATTCTAGCTACCCTGGAAATAAATTTGTATTATCAACTCATTATGTAATTCGTATGCGCAATTCATTGGTTGCATCCTGTTTAAGTCTCCTTCACAATGCGACTCTTTGTGCAGTGACCCCGCCAAACGCCCGACCCTTGGTAGTATCGTGGAAACACTGAAGAAGCTACTGAAGTCTCCCCAAAATTTGATTCAGATGGGAGGGAAGTAAAGATTCCCAGCTGTTGATGCAGCTTTGAAGAATTACAACTAGAGAGAACTCAGAGAAGTGTGCAAAACACCCGAGAAGGAACACTATGAAGTCATAAAGTAAAAGTATTTGTTTTCTAACTCATCGAGGAGATACCACCACGAGAATATAACCAGGTTATGGCTGAAACTTGCAAATTACACACAAAAATAGTGCAAGGGCGTCTGTATTGTAATTCTTGCCGAGGAGCATCAACTGATTGGGAACTTTGACATCCGTAGTACAAATTTGCTGTAATTTATGTTTCTGAGCGTCACCTGGGAACCTCGTTATACCAATTTATACCAAATTTCAGCCATGTTTTATGACATCCTAGTTAAGAGCATTCCAACTAGGGCTGAGCACTAGGGCTGAGCACGGATCTGAGAATTCCCGTTCCGTACAGAAGAACCGCCCCGAACCGTTCCAGAACCGATAGAACCGGAAAAATGTAAAACCGTACCGTACCGTACCAAGCTTTTTTAATAATATGGTACGGTACTGGTTCTTAGTGAGAACCGTCCCGGAACCGTCCCGGAACCGTATTATCCTGAACCGTCTCGAATTGTCCCGAAAACTAGTGTTAGATTATAATAATATATTATACATAATATATTACCGAGTATAAATGTTAGTGACCATATGTCCCGAAAACTAGTGTTATAATATAACAATACTACGTATATTATATATAATACTAAGTGTCAGGAATCGTATGTCCATATATTACAAATATGCAATCTTGCATATTCTTTGGGCGTAATCCAATTATTAAGACTTGACAGCACTAAAAGTTAGCTTTAAAACAAAAACAATACTAAATGATACGGAGTATAAACAATGCTATGTAAATAAGGTTAACTATATTTGCCAACCAAATAACACCAAAGAACCGTATTGAACCGTACCGAACCATGCTAAAAATTGGTACGGAACGGGACAGGTTCCATATATGTGCGGGACGGTACCGGTTCTTGATTTTTAAAAGAACCGTACTTTGGAACGGGACAGGTTTTTTGAAATAACCGTCCTGTACCGTTCCATGCTCACCCCTAATTCCAACCAAACATAGTTTAGTTGTTGTCATATCTTGTCTCATTTCTAATTTCGCACTTTTCTGTGTTCATATGTACTGCAAAGCAATGAGAGTTAAATGACCAGAATAAGTGAATCTTGAATCAGTGAAGCCAGGTTCCCGCTTTGTACCGGATAAATAAAGTATTAAAGTATTAGAATTTAGAGGTGTTTACTTCGCTGTTAAAGTCGTTGTTAAGTTAGTAAGATAAGTGAAATAAACACGCAAGTTACTTAAAAAGTTGTTTATTAATCGAAAGCGGAGTTTAAAGTGCCGTTTACTAAGCTTACTAAGCGGAGTTAAAAAGTTACTAAGCATGTATTAATTAAGCGGCGGATAGGATCCTCCAACTATCCAAAACAATTGACAGGAAATTAACAAGAAATCAACTGAAATTTATCCTCCAATTATCTACCCCCATGTCTATTTATACTAGGGTCTCAGACCCTTATTACTAATATTATTATTAATACTTCTATTATTAGTCTAATATAAGTGGGTTCCTATCAGCGGCATTTTAAGTTTTTTTTTTCAATTTCTAAATTTAACCTTACACTTACCCTTTGCCCTTACCATTCCACCCCATCCCCTACCCCTTTCACCCCACCTTACCCACCCTGACTCATTCGTATTGATTTACCCCTTACCACCCTACATCCCCGACCATACCCCTTACTCCATCCACCCTGCATCCCTTACCTACCTGACAGGCCCGGCCCAGAAAAATCAAAGGCCCTGTTCAAAATAAAATTGGAGGCCCTAACAATAATTACAAAAATCCAATATTCAATACAAAATTTGAGATTTAACTCCTCAATTCATATTTTCTAATTCTAGAGCATCATAATTTACAAATTGTACAAGAAATAACAAATTCAAAAATAGAAATTAACAAATAATGATGCAAAGATTGGAAAAGAACGGCTGAACAAAAGCACACCAGGAAGAGTTAGTGCCCTGCTGGTGGCCACATGCTACTCTGCTAAACTATTACTGTCTACTGAGTTATGCACATCTGCGGCTGCCTACTCGGTTACCGGCGTCTGGTTTCAATGATTCAAAGGAATCAACTATTGAACAAATGACTAAATCAGTGAATCAACGTGGTCAACAAAGAAGATTTAAGAGAAAAGATGATTGCAGGTCGCCAAGTCGGCACTGGGAAGAAGAATTGAAGCAATTGGGAAATCAGAATAATGGGCTTTGGATGAAATCGGATGTACGGGTTATTGAGATTCTCAAATTCAAAATAGCAGATTGAGGTTGAGTATTGTTGAATATTTAGCCTTAAAACCTAACCTTAAATTTCGACATACGTTCTCCCTAATCTTCTCGAAATCGCTGTGCCGCTTCGTTTCTCCAAGAAAAGTGCAGATAAACGAGGAGTCGAAGACTCCCCACTCGGCCGCTCCTGTTATTACTTAAGCGGTTGATGATCGATAGATAAGGCAAAGAGGCGCGCTTCTTCTAATGGCCGGTTGGGCCTCTAGTTACTCCGTATTTCATAAAAATCCTAATCGGCCTAGGTATAATACTGTCCTAATAAAAAATGGAGGCCCTCCCAAATTTAGGGGCCCTGTGCACTTGCACCACATGCACCTGGGCCGGGCCGGGCCTGCTACCTGACTCCCTATCCCGTTACCCCATACCACATGCTCCTACCTTGACCCCACCACCCTCCCTTACCCCTACCTACACCGACCCCTTTAGCCCACCATACTCTCATACCCCTTTACCCTACATTGACCCTACTCCATACCACTTGCCCCTATCTTGACCCCACCTTGACCCCGACCCCACCCCCTACACCCTAGCCTTTACCACCCTACTCCCAACCATAACCCCTCGCCCCACCCCTCGCCCCACCCCACACCTACCCCCTACCCACCCGACCCCCACCCTGGTCCTTACCACCCTGCTCGACCATACCCCTTACCCCACCCCCCAGACGTAACCTCTTGCCCTACCCCGACCCTACCCCTTTACCCCATACCATCTGTCCCTACCTCGACCCCACCCCTAATCAGTAGGGTAGGAGTTAGGGGGTATGGGTATGAGGGGTTGTAGGGGTAGAGGGTAAGGTCTAAGGGCAGGGGTAGGGGTTGCAAGTCACACACAAAAAGTGCAAGACATTTGTATTGTACTTTTTTTTACTGAGGAGCATCTTCTGGCTCGGAACTTTGATATACAAATTTGCTGTTATTTATGTTTCAAGAATGTTTCTGAGTGTCACCTGTGAATTGTTATTCCGATTTTAGGGTGGTAAACAAATCAAATGATCGATTCACGGTTCGAATTCGTATAAGGCTATTCGAATTTGAAAATTTGAAATACAAATAAGAATAATAAATTTGATTCGAATTGTTATAAGATACAAATAAGAATATCAGTGTATTCGATACAATACGAATGTTAATCAAATCATCATCATTTACCCCAGTGCCGCAAAGGCTCCCACCTACGGTGGGGTAGGGGGTCGAATGTACGCAGTCTTACCCCTGTATTAAAGCACAGAGAGACTGTTTCCGGATGATCCAAAGTGAAAATCGAGTCCAAAAATGCATGGACTGACTGCTACTTCATAACAAAGAAGCGCAAACAATTTAGTGAGCCATTTTGTTTTATTCCATCATACTCTCAAGCCAAAAAAAATTGTGAATCTTTGGCTCCATTGCAAATGATGGAAAACGAATGTTAATCAAATATATTCAATAAATAATATCTTTTTTCCCTGAAAAAACTTCAAAACTTTCCTTTGTGGGCGCCCCAAAATAAACTTTCATTTTCCTTTTTTGTAAAGAATTTGTGGTTCACAGCAATTCTTACACATTTCTCTCTCTTCTGCACAACTCTCCACCACACAATACTCACCATCTTAATTCTTAATCTCGTGCCATTTGTACTATGGAAGAAAATTTAGGGACGGAGGGAGTAGTGATAATATTATAATATTAATAATAATAATAATAATAATAATAGTGATAACATTATAATAATTTTTAAAAGATAGCTATACCCGGAAAGTGTAACTCATATATATACATTTACGTATACAAATTTCAAGCCTATTTGTAATAAATCAGAAGTATTGTACATACTAAGGGTTGTAAATGAAGCAAATGATTTTAATTCAATTCATGATTTGGATTCGAAAATTGTGAATAAAATTTGAAAATATATTCTTTCAAAAAAAAATTGAAAATATATGTTGAAGTTTATTCCTTCAACGGTTCAACCCGAGGGCCTAACACAATCCCTTGGGATTCAAATAGATATTTTAGTGAAATATATGTGTAACCTAGAAAGATGGGTCAATATATTTGTAGCAAGTGGGCCGTATCTTATTAAGTGATAATAACCGTCCGTATATAACACACTTCAACTACCTGACCGGAGGCCGTTCGATTACCTTAGTAAGAAGAGCTAAGATAATTGCTAAATGCTAAGGAGAGTAAGTTGTCAACTTTTTACAAGGAAATAAATGTTGTTATTTATACTATCAAGGGTTAAGTAGGCTCGCTGACATGGAGGGTTGTGGATGGCTTGGTTCCCAACCATCAAAGTTTCTGCATTAAATGCGTCTCCCGCCAATATCTTGATTTCCCGCCAAGGTCTGTGGACGAGCGTCTTCAGGATCTTGGCCCCTTCACTTTGGTGGTGCAAGGGCTAGGTTCCGTGCATCTCCTGGTAGTCTTCTGACTTATGAGCGCTAGGCTGCCTCTTAGTAAATGGGTGGGCTAAGGTCACGGGGGCCGATCGTGTTGTTGGGTAAGACGTACGTCCAATGTTATCTTGGTCCATTGTGGTTAACTGTCTCTCGTGGTCTGTAGCCTGAAGACGAGCATCTAGGGCCTTCCTCTTGTTGTACCTTGATGATCTTTGCTAAGAGGATAATGGGCCGACCATGTGTTTAACCCAACAAAACATAATATACATACAAATCAGTTTATTGGTTAAAATATCTTTCAAATACAAATACAAATAATTAGGTGTTTAAAGAATAATCAAATATATTCATGTATACATATACAAAATCAACCACCTAATATGCATGTATGTGCATCAACTATCCACTATATGCGCGTGTGTATAGTTTAAATTATACTCTGTATATCTAATGTTTTTTTATTAGCATGCAGCAATGCTAAATATATGACATAAAATTAGAGTCGGTTGACTTTGATGTATACAATTATCAACATATTTCACACATTATAAGTATAATTTCTAATATGTGTGTGTGTTATTGTTTATTCCAAAATGTTTGAAATTGATGTTTAAAAATCATAAAATTGATTCACTTCATTATATTGTGCACAAACTAAAAATGCATTGATCCATTAATTTTTAAGAAAAATGTAATGGTCCAAATCAAATTCTAAAAACACATATTAAGTCAAAGCATGCATTTATAACATGAAAATATAGGAAAAGTTAATTTAAAGTGATATTTGATTAATATTTAACTTATGCTCAAATCGATTAGATATTTGTATATGATTCGTTAACTATTCGTATTGTTTAACAAATACAAATCAAAATTAATATTTGTTTTGTGACACCGCACCCGGATGTACTTGAATTTGAAACTTAAAATGTACTTGAACTTCCTAGCGAATAAAATTCGTGTGATTTATTGGCATATTTAATTGATGTGCGATTAATTAAATTATTCTATCGAGCCCATAATAATGAGAATGAGCTACCAAATATTTAGTTGGGTTATCATAATAAATTATAGAAGCCCAATAAAGTGCCAACAAAAGTTGATAAAAATATTTGGACAACCCGAGTGCTATTTTGGCCCAACCTGCCAAAAAATAGCGGGAATAATTGGACGGAACTTCCTACACCCACTTGGGATATTTCTTACGTGTGATGTACATTCCAAGTAGTGGGAATGAGACAACTTAACATGATAGGGGCGGACTTTTGAGAGAGGGGATGGCTCAAGACAAATGCACACCCCCTATGACCCCATTCATGTATTATTTGTGCTCTTGATTGAGTAGGAGCATCTCCCCTATCCTTAGCATCATTCGAACCACCCAAAACCAAGAGGGAGAGAACTCTAGGAAAGCTTCTCACAAAGCTCAAGGTAGGAGGAAGCAAGAAAGAGGAGAATCCAAGAAGGAGGGAATAGTTTTTGAGGTAAGAACTCAACAACCATTCTTTAACTAGTTTATGGTGTATGATTTTTAAGAAATCATATGGTGGATTAAACCATGAGTTCTACACGTTTAAAAGTGTATTATATTGTTATAAAGTGGTGATAATTAACTTAGAAGAGTTGGTGAATCGATAGGAGTCGAAATCGTCGGAAACCGCCACTTTAAGGGAGCTGTTCGTAGCTGCAGACCACGAAAGCCGCCCACCTTTCACGAAAGCCGCCCGGCTTTCATCTGCTGCCCAGATTTTTCATCTCCAATTGGTTTAGAACGGGGATTAATCGGAGGGCTTGACAAAGGCAACTATTTCAGCACATCATAAGGTGAGGATGGCTGACTATGTTGCTTATAATCTTTAGGTTAATTTCGTAGGATTACCTAAAGCAATTAAATGTGATTTTCATGGATTATTAATGATTAATAATGCCTAAATGAAAATATTGTTGTAAATGAATAAAGGAGCATAATATACAAATTTAAGGATAAATTGTGTATGATTATGTAATATGAGCATATTGGCTTGATGAAGGGATTAATTATAAATATTGTGTTGAAATATAACTTTAACTTCATATAAGGATATATGAGTGATTAAAGGTTATATTTTGTATATTGATATGAACTATATTTTCAATGGAAAATTAGTTTGGAAATTGTCTATATGACTAAGAATTGAAAATGAGTTTTGTTGGAATTTATCCGACTAGTATTATGATACTAGTCGGGGTTTTGGAATGAAATATGTTAGAATTGATCCAAGGTTTGGATTGTAAATTGTTGAGCCTTAAGTAGTCTTAAGAGATACTAAGGTGGATAAGTGATGCTAGGGGTAGGCCTTAAGGGATACCCAAGATAAAGTGAATAATAAATTGATCCTAGGAATAGGATTGGCCTACGGGTGTATTCGGTAGTCTTTAAGGATTAGCCGATAGAGTATTGGTAATTAGTAAGGACCATGGCCCTTCCCGACTCTAGAGACTCGTATCAATTGTCAAGTGACGGATAGGTACTTAAAGACATCTTTTGGCGTGTTTGGTTATAAAAAGTTTTAATTTACAACTTAATTAAAGAATGGTTATATGCGTATTAGTATCAATTTTTTGGTACTACATTTAATTGTATTTTGTACTAATAACTCCAATTATTAATCAAAGTATCATGTTGGCGTTTCTCTAAGAAAATCAAAGTATTATGATAGTACTTAAATCTATTAATTTGTGGGAAAAAAGTTTAAAATAATTATTAATTGTACGTATCAATACATTTTTAATTTTTATGATTAAGATGGTTTAGGTAGTTATACCAATTATGTTAATAAAAAATCATTCATGTTCTTAAATGTCATTTAACAAGTTATCAGCTGTTTGTAAACAATCATTTAACCAAACACTAATTTACAAACAACTAATTAAAACAATCAACAGAATCTGTTGTCATTAATCAGCCAACATAGTACGCCAACAGTCAACAGCCAACAACTCATTGCCAAACACTCCCATAAGTTTCAGCAGAATTATCTGATTTTGATATTACTTATTTGTGCATCTTCTAAACCCATTACGAGCCCGTTTGGTAGCACCAAAATCGGCTGTTTTGGCTGATTCTGCTGAAATTTATGAAGTTGTGGCTGAAGTGGCTGTTTTGGCTGATTCTGCTGATTCAAGAAAAAATATTTTAAAAATATATTTTATTAATAAAATAAAGAAAAACTTATATGTAAAAATAGCTAAAATGGTCATCTACAGTAACTTCAGCCAATACAGCCAGAAAAGTAACTCCAACCTTACTTTTTCTGCTTATTACACAATCCAGCGCGCGAAAGTAAAAATTACGTGTTTGGTGAAAAAGTTGGTTGATAAGCCCGATAAGCCGAAAAAAGATGTCTCCAAACGGGCTCTACATGTGTTTATTTATTCCTCAATTTTAGGATGAAATAATAACAATGCGGGCATGGCCATGATCATGTGCTGGTACATAACACACTAGGAATAATATCTGATTGAGTCATACTTGAGAAAGATATTTTCACTGACACAGAAACACAAGCAAAACCCAAAAAAAGATATTTTGTGTAAACTTAGCCAATGCAAGAGTCACAGTACACGCGTCAATAGTTAGGCCGGGGACGAGGCTGATGGCAGGCGCCTTTACCCTTGCAGCGCACGTTAGCACTCCGCGCCTATTTATATTCAATTTTCCCACCTCTTTTCATTCTCTTATAAATAAACAAGCAATCGCCTAAAATATTCATTTGCTTCCTTCTCTTCTCTTCATCATGGCCGTCTTCTTCGTCCACTAACCTCTCCTTCTTCTTCATACACATATATAATAGCTTTACTAATTAAATAGCTCGCTGTTTCTCCTTCAACTCCTGATCTAGCTTAAAAGGTATGAAATTAAATTTCACTTGATTATGAGATTAGTTTGTTTCTCTCTCTCTGATCTGTTCATATGAAAAACTGTGAGTACGGACATATACGTTATACGGAGTATATCAATATCACGTATGTTGGGTTTAATGCACCAAAACTCCCGCTCATTTATAAATTTAGCGCCTCTTGTGATTTAAAAAAATATTATGCGTCAAAACCCGTATGCTATGTTTATTCTGCAAGAACAACTTTACCAATTCGTAAATCACTTATCTTAATATTATGAATTATTATGAATGAATATGCAAGTAAATTTGATAAAATGGTTAAATTATGCAAAAATACTAATTATTTTCGATTTAATTGGCAATTTAATTTTTTCTTGGAGGGATTTTACATACAGTGATGTATCCACTATGGAGGCCGCTGCCCCCACTCAACCCCAACCCCTATATATATGTCCAAATGTTTATAAGAAATTGCTCAAAATAATAGTTAAATGTAAAAAAATCTAAAATAGGATTAAAAGTATTTTTTTTAATATTAAAAGAATGAAAGGCTAAAAAATTCACTAAATTTCGTTAGGTTTAACTTATAGTTAGATAATTTTATTACATTTTATCTGCAATTACATCTTTACACACCCGTAATATAAATTAATCTTCTTTTTATTCATACTTTTACATAGATATTATAAACTAAATTTAATCAAACAATATTAATAATGTGATTTGTTATTTGTGATATATGAGACTAAATTGTAGTCAAGTTTGCCCTCACTCGCCAAATTTCCTGGATACGACACTGTTTACGCATGAATAATTATATCACAATGAGGTTTGACGCATTTTTTAAATCACAGAGCTAACACGCCCAATTTATAAATCACAGAGGGGTTTAGTGTATTAAACCCCATATATGTTCTGGGCATGCAGCTAGCAGGATTATTTTATGAAAATGATTAAACCTGAAGCCAGGCTTTCAAGGATTTATATTTCTATACATTATTACTTAAGTTTTGATTGCTAAAGGATGTGTAGCTGAATGTAATGTTAATTCCAGTCGTGAAATTTTGCAGAATTTGTTATGCTTTTCGGAGTAGCGTTCACGTGAGCTTTTTTGGGAGTTCACTGGAGGTTTGTGATAATGCCCAGAGGCGGCTTTTGGGGGAGTTGGGACAGAGCTTCAAAAAAATTAAAAAAACCTATTAGTATTACCTATTATTTACTACTAATAATAAGAATTAATTAATTATCTGGGTTGTGGAGTCTGAAGGTCTGATTTAGGGGCATACGGCTCCGACAAGTGAACGACCAATTCCATCCGCCGAACTGCCGATTTGCCTAAGACTTGAAGAAATCCGATTTTCCGAACGAGTGTCGACTGATTCCTGCGTCGTGCCATCCTGGTGGGCTGCCGCCTGCTTTTCCAGAAATCCAATTGGTGACTTCTGTGAGTTTTCACTCCGATTTCTCTAATTCCTGTCCTAAATAATGAAATAGGTACTCCAAACTCCAAAGATCGTAAGGCTCTGTTTGCAACCACTTGTGCTTAAATAAAAACACTTTTGTGGAAAAAGTTATTAGTAGTAAAAGTTTGGTAGTGTTTGGTAAAATAAGTGCTTTTTGTGTAATAGAAAAAGTAAAAAGTAGATTATACACGAAAACCGAGGAAGTAAAAGTTGATTGTGTTTGGAAAAATAAGTGCTTTTTTCTTAAAAAAAAAAACTAAAATCACTTTTTTTTAATTGTTGAGCGAACACGTGGACAAACAAAAAAAGGCATTTTTTAGATGGCACAACCGAATAATGAAATATGATAAAGCCTAGTAAATACTACCATCCGTTCTCTTTTAAATTCAACATTGTATGTTTTCCACTATTCACATGTTCTACTTTGACTCTGTTTGATTTATTATGTATTATAAATCAAATTTTTAAAAATATTTTAAAATTCTTCTCATTTTAAATTTTCAAAATCTGAATTTCTTAATTTTTTTTACTAATAAGGAATGAAAGATATTAATAGTCAAACACGTACTAATAACTAATAAGGTATGAAAGATATTATTGGTCAAACTTGTGCGTTAACAAACCTAAAAAGTGTGGTGCAATTAAAAAGTGGACAAACAGAAAAGGCAAATTTTTAACTTTTTGAGGTTAGATCTCGGTTACCAGTTACTAACTTGCTATTGTTATTCTGTTAGTGTATTACTACGGATTAGATATATAGATGAATAAGATCATAACTGGTTAACTGATAAATTCATTACACACAGAAATGATTAATTTGATGGTATTGGTAGTACGTAGTAGGGTTTGTAAACAAACTGAATCGAGTCGGATAGTGAGAATTTTTATTTGTTTTTGTTTAATTTTTTCCGAATACGAATTGAAATTCGAATATGAAACGAATATTAATTTCGATTTGTATTTGTATTTATATTTGTTTAACAATACGAATAGTTAGCAGATCATATACGAATATCGAATCGATTTGAGCATAAGAAAATACGTAGTATTAGTCAAATATCATTTTAAAATAATGTTTCCTACTTTGTATATTTTTTATGTTAAAAATGCATGCTATGATTTAATATGTATTTTTAGAATTTGATTTGTAACATTACATTTTCTTAAAAATTAATGGATCAATGCATTTTTAGATTGTGTACAATATAATAAGGGAAAAATAATTAAAATACATCAAACTTTGAAGGGGTGTGAGATGAATATTCCAAATTTGCATATGTATTTTAAATGTCTCAGATATAAAAAGTTATTTTGGCACCGAAGTCAAGTATTATTTCTTTCAAAATGTTTTAGAATTCATGGAGACACAATTAACATTATAAACTTCCATTGAAAAATAAATAATGCTATCCCAATCTATATAATTGCAACACTTTTAATTTGTTATTTTAAATTATGAAATTAAATGATTAACCCCATAAATTTACATTTTTGAAAGAAATAATACATAACAATGGTGCGAAAATAAATTTTTATATAAAGTCTAGGGTATTTAAATTACATGCATAAGTTTGGTGTGTTTACTTCACACCACATCAAATTTTGTAGTATTTTGATTATTTTTTCCATATAATAAAGTGAATCAGTTTTTTGATTTTCTAAATGTACATCTATTTCAAAATTTTGAAATAAATACTAAGACACACATATTAGAAATTATACTTATAATGTGAGAAATAAGTTTATAATTGTATATACCAAAATCAACATGACTCTAATTTTATGTTAGATGTTTAACATAGTTGCTAATAAAAAAACCATTAGATATACGAAGTATAATTAAATCTACACACATAGTGGATAAATTGATTTTGTATGAGTATAAACGGATATATTTGATTATTACTTGAATTTAATACAAAATTATTGTATTCGTATTTAAATGATATTTGAACCAAAAAGCTAATTTCTATTTGTATTTATATTATTTATTTTCAAATTTAAATCATAATTTTTGAATCCAAATCACGAATCGAATTAAAAATATTTGCTTCATTAACAACCCTTAATTCGTATGATTTATTACAAATAGGCTTGGAGTTTGTATACGTAAATGTATATATGGACTACACTTTGCGGGTATAGCTATCTTTTAATAATTATTATAATTATAATGTTATCACTATTATTATTATTATTATTAATATTATTATTATTAATTATTAATATTATCACTATTATTTACGGAGTATCAAATATCATTCGAAATTGATATTCTTATTTGTATTTGATAACAATTCAAATCAAATTTAATATTTTTATTTGAATTTGAATTTTTCGAATTCAAATAGCCTTATACGAATTCGAATCGCGAATCGAACATAAATTATTTGATTCATTTACAACCATAATTGAAAGAACCATAATTGAAAGTAGTAAATTAGTTATTTTGTTTAATTTATCATTCAATTTAGAAGAATAGAAGTTTGTTTAATTAGGCAACTTGTACTTTTAAGAATAAGTGGTTTTGATTTACTCTTTAGTATAAGTGTGATGTGTGTTTTGAAAAGGTTTATATTATTTCATTTTAAAACTTATCCTTTTGAATACTAAAAAATTATATGTTTTTGTTTCATTTTTATGTTTTTACTTCAATTTATCCATTTTCCATATAATTTTTGTGTCGTTTTTTTTTGTTTTGTTTTTGTATATATGGCCACCGAAATCGAAATGCTGAAAACGCCCCTGCTGCCCCACAGAACGACTTGCTTCTTTCCGACGCAATTTCCAGACAGAGGTGGCGGATTTGGTGCGTCATCTTCGTCAAAGTTCCTTTTAGATCACGAGAAGACCGGAGGGGGTCAAAATGGGGGAAAGTCTGGAAAGGAGGACAGCGATGAAGTTTCATACGCTTCCTCTCGTTTTGATGCATCTGAAAGCGTCACTGGAGGAGACAAAATTCACGGGAAGCAATTGACCGCTTTTGTCAACTGGCTGACTGAGAAAAAGGTTAAAGACAAATCATCGCACCATCAGATTCCTCGAGCCGAATTCGAAGTAGGATTCGAAGATGGTGGTGTGAAGGATGAGGGCGGTGGTAAATACCACCTCTTGCTTCCAACTCCGCCGGGGGCGGTGCCAAAAGTTGCTTCCTCTGACCACCGCCCATCACGTGATCACAAACCATCAGTAATTAGGCCGAAGGATCACAATGCGCCGTCGTTTCGGCGTCCACCCAGTGGGTTGGCAAAGCAAGCCCCATTGCAGCGGTCACCAGTTACCTACAGCAACCACTTTAGTTGTCTGGGGAAGGAGAAGGGACTTGATGTTGAAAGGAAAGCATCCTTGCAGCGGCTTTCAAGTGCGGGCAGCACTACCGATTCTTCGAGTTGGTTTTCATGGTCAACATCGGATGGGAACCGGCCGAATACCAGATTCAATGATTCACACACGTCGACCACCTCGGGCCCAAATGAGAATGAAGTGGTTCCCAGGTGGAAGGAGAGCTATTACTTGCAGCTCACGGTTGCCAGAAGCATTGTTGAGCAAGCAACTATTGCTATTGATGAGCCTCTGCAAGAATGCATGAGCGTTGAGGGTCTACCAGTATCTTCTGACCCTCAGACCGTGTCCTTCCGCCTCTGGGTACGTACAAAGTATTTAATGTAAATTCCTCCATCGAATGCTATAAGGTATGCCGTGTGCAATTTTTTTAAATGATAATCAGGTTTTCTGGCCAAAATTAACTGCAGTGTTTGTGAATTGTTCTTTGCACACCTCAATCATTCAGTGTCACATTCAAATTCCAGTCTAATATTTCAGGTAAGTGGGTGCTTGTCATATTTTGATAAGATAACAGATGGATTTTATAACATCTTGGGAATGAATCCATATTTGTGGGTGATGTGCAATAACATGGAGGAAGGTAGTAGATTACCATCTCTGGTGGTACTTAAAGGTACTGAACACAGTGATACATCGATGGAAGTGGTCCTCATTGATCAGTGTGGGGATGCTAAGCTCAAGGAACTAGAAGATAAAGCTCAAGAAATATTTTTTGCTGCAGAGAATACACTTGTTTTAGCAGAAAAACTTGGAAAACTTGTTGCTGTCCATATGGGGTGAGTGTGTGTTTTTAAGTGGCGTGCTTCTTCCGCCCTCATTTCCCTCTTGCTGATGAGACTGTCAACTTTGTTAAATTTAAGGGGATCTTTTCCCATGGAGCGAGGTGATCTTTACCAGCGCTGGGAAATTCTCAGCAATAGACTTAAGGATATTCATAGTTGCATCGTTCTCCCAATTGGTAATTTATCTGCAGGGCTTTGCAGGCATAGGGCTGTTTTGTTCAAGGTGATTCTTTAAGGACCACTTTTTACTTATTGAGAAAAGGCCGTTTAAAACTTTTGGCATTCTCATCTTGCATTTGTTTTCATCCGCATTGATTTCTATGTGGCCATAATCATTATTTGTCTGTTCTACAGAAATTGGCGGACTATGTGGGCTTGCCTTGCAGAATAGCCAGAGGTTGCAAGTATTGTGTTGAAGATCACCGGTCTTCATGTCTCATAAAGATTGTGGATGACAGAAAAAATGCTAGGTGAAGTAATTTTCCTTATGTTTAAAGTTGTCAAGCTTACTAGTAGAGTAGGGTATCCGAGGAAGCATTAAGGAATTTAGAAAAGTTAGAAAAGTTGCTTCATGTTTTCTGTTCGTTAGAGTCCCAGGTCGAAAATTTTAAGAGTCACACATCTGAAAATAATGAGAGATAATAGATTGATAGGTTAGAGGCTTTGAATTGAACTAGCAAGTATATTGGATTCAAGCCTGACTTCCATCACTATTTCATGTGCATTAATTTTGTGATATTTATTTTAACTGCATACTGTTACATTAAATGTTTGGTTGCATAGCGCATACGGCGCCATACATAGTCCATGCAGGGGGGGCCTTTAGTTACAAGGTTCAGAATCTGCTTGAATATTGATTGCAGCTTGTTTATACTTTCTTAACAGGGAATTTGTAGTTGATCTAGTAGGGGAACCTGGAAATGTGCATGGCCCAGATTCATCTATTAATGCAACTGATCTTTGCTCTGTGCTTTCCCCCTTTCAAGTTGCTCATCCTAAGGAATTCCAGCTACCTAACATGGAAGGTAATACCAGTTGTCAACTACTTGATTCAAATTGTGAACTTCTTCGTGCAGAAAATTTTATGTATTTAGGTATATTCTGTCCAAATCATGAACTTTGCTATCAAGTTCTTCAGGGGCGTCTTCAGCATTTCGGAGGCCCTAGACAAAAAAAATGCCACAAAAATTGTATTGAAAAGAGATAAATTGAATAAAAAACATCAACATTAAAAAAATACATACTCAGTGTACAATATAATATTTTTAATATTCAGAAGGATAAGTTTTAAAATGAAATAATATAAACATTTGCAAAATACACATCACACTTATACTTTTAACAAAGAGTAAACCAAAACCACTTATTCTTAAAAGTACAAGTTGCCTAATTAAACAAACTTCTATTCTTCTAAATACAATGACAAATTAAACAAAATAACTACTTTACTACTATCAATACCATCAAATTAATCATTTCTATGTATAATGAATTTATCAGCTAATCAGTTATGATCTTATTCATCTAAATATCTAATACGTAGTAATACACTAATAGAGTAACATTCTCTGTACAATAATAACTAGTATCTGGTATCTAGCCTCAAAAAGAAAAAAATTGCCTTTTTTTGCCCACTTGTTTTCCAAATATTTACTATGCTTTATGCCTTTATCGTATTTCATTATTCCATTATGCGTTCTTAAAAAATTGCCTTTTTTGTTTGTCCACGTTCTTGCTCAACAATTATTTATAGCCTTTACTCCTTCAGCTCTTTAGAGTTTGGAGTACGTATTTCATTATTTAGGACAGGAGTTAGAGAAATCAGAGTGAAAAATCACAGAAGTCACCGATCGGATTTCGGGAAAAGCAGGCAGCAGACCCACCAGGGCGGCACGGCGCAGGAATCAGTCAACCCTCGTTCGGAACATCGGATTTCTTCAAGTCTTAGGCAAATCGGCAGTTCGGCGGATGGAATTGGTCGTTCACTTGTCGGAGCCGTATGCCCCTAAATCAGACCTTCAGACTCCACAACCCAGATAATTAATTAATTCTTATTATTAGTAGTAAATAATAGGTAATACTAATAGGTTTTTTTTTTGTTTTTTTGGGGCCCCCTTGGAATGTGAGGCCGAAGGCAATTGCCTTGCCCAACTCCCCCAAAAGCCGCCTCTGAAGTTCTTCATGAGTCAAATTACTTGTCATGGATGTGAATCCATAAATATATATTTAAGGAATACAAACATGCATTTTCCTTGGGAGTATGAACTGACCGAGTGTTAATAGTTGTTCTTTGTGTACTGGGAGCACAATGAAATTTTGTGAAGACAGTAGTTACTTCATTTTGTATTCAAAGAACATAAAAAAAAATTATCATTACTCATCAGTACACTCATTCTTTTTGCATCTACAGAAAAAGAAAATCTACCAATGCATGATATTGTCCTTATGGACAAGCCCAAATGTTTCTGGTGCAGTCCAAATCAGTTTTCTGAAATCAAATCACCTGAGAAACTTACCACTACAGCTGGTGTAATTACAAGAGATGAATATGATGAACCCAGAGATCAAAGTAAAATAGTTCTATTCCAGAATAGCACACAAGAGATTGTTCAGCCTAGACCACCTCCATTTGCTGGTGGGCATCCCAGCATAAGTAAATATGTGGAGAGTGAGGTTACGCTTGAGAATCTGAAGCATTCGGAAGCAACCCTTCCAAAATACCTGAATCTTGAACCATCTCTTGCAATGGATTGGCTCGAGATCTCATGGGATGAGTTACATATCAAGGAGCGTGTTGGGGCTGGTACATTTTCTCTCTTTTCTTTCGACCCCCAACTTGTGCTAATAAAAAATGTCTCCTTAATGTTGTCAGATTGTTGTTTTGTCAGACTAACACTAGTTAAAATTCCTTGGCGCAGGTTCTTTTGGAACTGTACATCGAGCTGAATGGAATGGATCTGTAAGTAATAAACTTGATGTTTTAGTAGGCTATCTCACAACTTTGTTTTAGTTAAGTAGTTTATTTCACTTGAATATTAAGTTCAATTGCACCTTGGTTGAGGCACTTCACTAGTTTTGAAATATGAATGAATTAAAATACGAAAGGGGGAGGTCATTTAGAAAGGTAAGGTTCTTTAATTTGAGATTTACCGGACTAATGGGATTATTAAATGAAGCAGAAGAACCCGCTAAGTATGAGCTGCCACCATTCAGCAAATTCATTAACTTTTTTTAAAGAATTTCAGCACTAAACTTAGATTTTCATGTGCAATGCAGTTTTTGTTAAGAATACATGCCACATGCATGTGTGATCATCCCAGTTCATGTCTATGGTCTACCATATTTTGTTTTAATAGTTTCACGGTAATTTTTCTTTTCTTACTATACGGAATATGTCAACAGTAGATAAATTTGGGTTCAGTTTTACTCATAGAGAAATGTGTGAGGTGAATGAAGTATGCATTTCTGGCAAATCACTCATAAGTTGCAGCTGTTGGAAATGAGATAGATACTTAAAATGAATTTAAATGTTCATTGTTAAAAAATTTGAATATAGAGAAGGGTTTCTGCATGATTCTATATTTAGAATGTATCAATTGAAAAAGGAGAACCCTCATTGCAGGATGTTGCAGTCAAGGTGCTATCTGTCCAAGATTTTGAAGATGACCAATTAAGGGAGTTTCTAAGGGAGGTATGTGCCTGCATCAGTAAAGCTAAATGATCAAAGCCTCTTGCTTATTTACTTTTTTTCTTGCCATTCATGAATTATTCATTTTTATGAGGACTGGGAGAATATAGAGGAATTGTCACATAATGCTTCTTTGTAGCTTTATTCCTGAATCTTTACCTAAGAAGTTTGGTAAATGGATTTCATGCATGTATATTAAAGTGTGTGTTATACATTTCTAGACATTATGGTTTGTTTTATCTCCTGCATTGCATATCTATCCTTAGTGGTACAACCGTAGATGTACCTTATATCAGGTGAACAAAAAGTTGTGGGAGTTCCATCACGTGTCTCAGTATATGTGCTTTTGTGTTCAATGATTTTCTGAACAAATGTTGGATTTTAGATGTTGATTCAAGAAACTATCTTTTGAAGGTTGCAATAATGAAGCGTATCCGCCATCCAAATGTGGTTCTCTTCATGGGTGCAGTCACTAAACGTCCACATCTATCCATAGTGACTGAATATCTACCTAGGTATTTGATCCTGCATATATGTAGCATAAACTCCCAATATCATTCCGAACGCTCAGTACTATCATTGATCAAGGTTCGAAATTGCGAATTGCGTAGTCGTGGCGTTTTTTTAATATTGCATATTGCGTAAGCCTCATTGCGCAATGAGGCGTATAGCTAAGGCGTAATATATTATATATATATAAACATAATAAAAAATAAACATATTCGTTAAAAGTCATCAAATGTTATATTAAAACAACCATAAGAGGCCAAGCAAAGTAACATTTTCAAACTTCAAAGTACCATAGAATACCAAAACATTCTGAATCATTTATCAAAACAAAAATCTAAGATATGAAAATTTAAATTAATTAGATTGATTGACTGAAAAATTCAATCAATAACTACTGGTTTGAAATAGGGATCATAAGATCAATTATAAAATTTTAAAAGTGGGCCGAGTGGGCCCAAATAATACCCTTACACCCTGACCTCCTATTGCGTACGCCTCAGAGCGCCTTATTGCGTATCCAATATTGCGTACGCCTCAGTGCAATATTGCGTACATCACACTCCCAGTGCCATATGCAATGCCTTTTACGCCATAGTCCAGGAATTAGCTGAGGCGCGCCATGAGGCGCAATTGCATTGCGCAATTACAAACAATGTCATTGATATAATCTTTTATCATTACTATTATGATCATTATATTTATTACTCCGTATTATCTAAGAACTTTCTTTGTCTGTCTTTTGGATGCAGGGGAAGTCTATACCGCTTAATTCACCGACCAGCTAATGGGGAAATGATGGATCAAAGGAGGCGCTTACGAATGGCTTTGGATGTGGTTTGTCCTGACTCCTGACGTCAAACATTGTCTCTTAACGATGCATGTATTTTTTTGTGATACACGTATGAAATGCAGGCCAAGGGTATCAACTATCTTCATTGCCTTAGCCCCCCTGTGGTTCACTGGGATCTTAAATCTCCTAATCTCTTGGTTGACAAGAATCGGACTGTGAAGGTTTAAGAATATGCTGCTATTATGTACTGTACTGATTTATGAAATTGTTTGATCAACATTGCTTCCTTTATCTTATATCATCATTTTGCTCAGGTGTGTGATTTTGGTCTGTCAAGGTTTAAACCTAATACATTCATATCTTCCAAATCAGTTGCAGGAACTGTAAGTCCTTTCTAGCATTTGCATACAGAGTATTTAGATTCAGCCTGTATAAAGCCTAATATAAACCTATTTTTGTATGGGAAAATGAAGTTATCCTCTTGAGTTTTTTTTTTGAGGTTATGTTATAATTGCTAACGTACCTTGTTTTTCAAGTCTAATAAGAATTGTCTAAAATGTCAATTCTTAAAAGCAGTGTTCTAAAAGGGGCTAGGCGTTAGTCAGACAGTGATTGGCCGCCTAGCGCCTAGCCCGCCTAGGCGCTACCTAGGGCGCCTAAGTATTACCTTTATTTCTTTGCTTTATTTTTATTTCCAAAGAATTCTAACAATATTTACTAATAATTTAATAATATTATGAGAATAGAAATAGCTCATATAATCATTAAATGTTATGTTTTTGTAGTAAATTATCAACAATAAAATATTTAATAGGTAAATTGATAGATTTGTGTTTTTCAGTCTCTAAAATGTACATATACATTCTAAAAAGTTTATATATATTCATTTAGAAATTATTTTTTTATTGTTGGAATATTAAAACAAATTTTACAGGAATACATTTCTTATTGATCATGTGGTGTTTTAAGACAAAACAGAACAATAAGTTGTGTCGGGAACAAATTTAAGCCAGGCCGCCTAGCTGATTTTTCCCACTGATTACAATAAAAATTGGGTGTTCGGCCACCGCCTAGCGACTAGGTGGCGCCTAGGCCGATTTTAGAACCATGCTTAAGAGTCATAACATTTATCCTTAAAGATATGTTGGAGAATTGGGTTTTGGAGGGGAGGGGAAGGTTAATGGGGGTTACACTCTTTGTCATGTCTGGGCAAAAAAATGGAGGGGGTGGTTTTGGATGGCTTTTGTAACCCTCCAAGCCCTCTCTAAATGCTCACTTTTTAAGTTCTTCCCATTTGGAGGGTTTTGAAGGATAATCAATGAAATAATAATTTAAGCTCAATTTAAAATGAATATCAATTACGTTATTTGAATTCGTCATATCTCGAAGTGATTTTAACTAAAATTCCTTCGAAGACTCTTTCCAAATTTATTACTACCAAATACGAAAAAACGTTTCCTCACCTTCCCCTCCTTTTCCCATCCAACAACTTACATTCAAAGGCTTCCCCTCTCCTTCCCTCCAAACTCCCAAACATACCCTAAGTGATTAGTGGGGCTTGTTGTTCCATTGCCATGGCTTATAATGATGAATAAGAAGTGATTTGACCTTAAGAGATAGATATTTTAGACAATTTCCCTCATATTTTGTTTCCTTTTTTTCGAAGCTCAATAGCTTATGAAAAAACAAGATTAGACTTTTATTGATGACTTAATGTTAAGGGGTAAACACTGATTTTTCCTTTTTATATTGATCTTCTAAGTACTCATGGAATCAAACATGTTGATGCAGCCTGAGTGGATGGCCCCTGAATTTCTTCGTGGAGAACCATCAAATGAGAAGTCAGATGTGTACAGTTTTGGTGTCATTTTGTGGGAGCTTATTACCCTTGAACAGCCTTGGTCTGGACTCTGCCCTGCTCAGGTTTGCATACCTTTCTCTACATGCTTTGCTGTTTTTGCTTCTTTAAGGATGATCCGTATTTTGACCAATTATCAGGTGGTTGGAGCTGTTGCTTTCCAAAACAGAAGGCTTTCTATGCCAGAGAACATTTCTCCAACAATGGCATCTCTCATTGAAGCTTGCTGGGATGAGTAAGCTCTAAACTTCCATTTTGTGAACTATATTTCTTACACCATTTCATTGTTCAATAACTCTACATGTTTGTCTATGGGAAAGCTTGGGGCAACCCCCACCCGGGCAGCGTAGGCTTGGCAACCATTTGGTTCCAAGTTTTATGATAAAGCTTGGGGCAACCCCCACCAACTTACCGGGGGTGTCTGGTATGATAAAGCTAGGTTTAGTATCTTTGAGAACAAGGGTACTCAATAGAATTGATAATCTGGGGTGATTCTACTTACTGGGTGTCTGGTATGATAAAGCTAGGTTTAGTTACTTTGAGAACAAGGGTACTCAATAGAATTATAATCTGGGTGGAGTTGCGCGGTTGGATTAATGTAGCAAGAGTCAGAGGCACTAGAATATAGCTACTCTAGCTCAATTGAATTCAATGCCTTCAAATTCATGCATCTCTATTTAATACGTATTATATCTGATCCAATGTCTTTTAATATCTCAGATTCCAGCTACCCTGGAAATAAATTTCTATCATCAACTCATCAAGTAATTCGTATGTTTGAGTTCTTCTCCCTCACAATGTGACTCTTTGTGCAGTGACCCCGCCAAACGGCCGCCCTTTGGTAGTATCGTGGAAACACTGAAGAAGCAGCTGAAGTCTCCCCTTAATTTGATTCAGATGGGAGGGAACACTAAAGAAGCAGCTGAAGTCTTCCCTTATTTTGATTCAGATGGGAGGGAAGTAAAGGTTCCCAGCTGTTGATGCAGCTTTTGAAGAATTTCAACTATGATATTTATAGAGAGAAGTGTGCAAAACACCGGAGAAGGAACACCATGAAATCATAAAGTAATAATATTTGTAATACGTGACATAAGGTGTCAGTGTGTCACTATACATCTGCAAGGAAAGTCAAGCATGAGAGAATCTTTTGAATTATTACATGTACTATTTTTGTACTACCTCCGTCCCTTAAAACTTTGCCAAATTTGACCGGCACGAGAATTAATAAAGTAAAAACTGTGTGGTTGAGGTTTGTGCAGAGGAGAGAGAATTCACTGGAACCACAAATTCTTTACTTAAAAGGGAAAGTGGCAAAGTTATTGGGACAACCAAAAAAGGAAAGTTGGCAAAGTTTTAAGGGACGGAGGGAGTATTTCGTATTATTCACCTTCCTTATTATGGCCTTTTCCTTATTTGAAGCTTTGTACTGTTGTAGTATAAATAATGCTCGATCGTTGGCAGTAGCTATGAATAATATACGAAACCTTTCTTCTTTGTTCTCATCTTTCTTCTTCTTTTGCTATTATTTTATGATGGTATCAGAGTTGAAATCCTGGCTAATTTTTAATTAGACTAGTTTTCCGATCTGGTATCACTTGATTTCCGAATCAGAGCATCACCGTAATATTTCTATGACCAGAAAAACTGGCGTGGAGAGTAGCGCATACCAGGCTCACGTTAAATCAAGGGTTGACCGAAAGCCCGGAGGGATAGAAGGGAAATTTTGCACCCCCTGCGGCCGAACTAACCATAATCAGCTGGACAGCGAATTGGAATAACCGACCAAAGGATGAACCACCTGCAGGTCATTCCATTGATCGGCCAGCAAGGAGTGGTAAAACTGGTAATCATAACAAAAGGAGTGGACCAACTAAAGCAGCACACGTTAGCTCACATGCAGGGACAGAGTTTAATGTTCCAGGACCCATCTCAAAAGGCACTTCAAACGTGGAGGTTAATATGGCAGGTAACATCCAGGCTCAATGGATAATTGATTCAAGAGCATCCGAGCACATTACTTGCAATCAGAATTGACATTATCTCGTGTTTTATTCATACCCACTTTTCAATGCACTTTATTATCGGTGAGTCGGTTGACTCAAGAGCACAATTGTGCACTGACATTTTTTGGAGATTTTTGTGTGATTCAGGACTTACTCTCGAAGAGGCCGATTGGAGTGGGTAGGTGTCGAAATGGTCTATATTATCTGGAGGACCGCATCAGCGAGGGTGTGGCAATGGCGGCTTTTTCACGACTTGACATTTGGCACCGACATCTGGGGCATGCCTCACTTGACAAACTTCGTCATTTTCATACTTTGCAAAGTCTTAAGAAAGATGTTTCCTTTTGTGACTCGTGTGTACGAGCTAAGCAGACTCGACTCTCTTTCCTTACCAGTTATATTAAGACACAACAAAGTTTTGATTTGATTCATTGTGACATCTAGGGGATATTAATATGCCTCTTTGACAGGTGCACAATTTTTTCTCACCATTGTTGATGACTTTACACGCAACGTGTGGGTCTACCTCATGACCGCCAAATCTGAAGTGGGGCAATTTTTAATTCATTTTTGTAATATGATTAATACTCAATTTTGTCATCCTGTTAAGCGAATTCGGACCGACAATGGTGGTGAGTTTCAGTCTCATGTCCTGCTAGATTATTATAGCACAAATGGAATTGTCTTAGAAACGTCTTGCACATACCCCAGAACAAAATGGGGTAGTGGAGCGCAAACATCGACACATTTTGGAGGTGGCCAGGGCTTTGCGCTTTCAGGCGGGATTACCAATTGAGTTTTGGGGGGGAGTGTATCCTTACAGCCGTATTCATCATCAATAGGCTCCCCATGCCGGTAATTTCCAATAAGACCCCATTTGAAATGCTTTTCCAGAAAATACCTGATTATAATCACCTTTGTGTGTTTGGATGTCTTGTTTATGCTCACGATAATAAAAGAAAGGATAAATTCGGTGAGAGTGGAAGCCCATGCATTTTTATTGAGTACCCTAGCAGACAGAAAGGTTACAAAGTATTTGACGTGAAGACTCATAAGGTCTATAGCTCAAGGGATGCAACCTTCTTTGAGAATATTTTTCTGTGCAAAACCACTTCAGCCACAAATGATCAATCTTTTAACACGACAATACGGGTGGCTCTTAACCGAGTTTATGCTGATTCCATGTCTTCAATTGATCCAACACCGATGCGACCGGCCATCGAGGCGGTGCTTCTCCTATGAAGTTCGGATCCTCACAAGATACACATATCGAGGCTATGCATGAGAATCACGTCGAGACTACTACAGACTCAGCTCCCTTCGAGCCAGTTGTACAGGTGAATAACTCTCAGCATGATGGCGGTATTCGGAAGAGTGGACGAGTGCGGCGGACACCGGTGCATCTAGATCACTTTGATGTTGACTTTCCACCCTCGCTTGATCACTTGAAACCCACCTCCAATCCGGTAGTCTCGACGGTATATCCTCTCACACATTTTCTCTCTTATTATAATAATTTTTCAACGACTCACCGAGCTTTTTTAGCGGCCATCACTGCCCATGATGAGCCCAAATATTTTTCCCAAGCCATCCAGGATCCACTATGGAGGGAAGCAATGCAAGAGGAAATTAGGGCACTTGAAGAAAATAGAACGTGGACTCTAGTTCCTCTGCCTCCCGGAAAGAAGCTGGTTGAATCCAAATGGGTCTACAAAATAAAATACAAGCCTAATGGAGACATTGAGCGCTACAATAAGACATCAAGTCTTCTTTACCTCATCCGCCTTCTCTCACACACCACCTTGTGCACTCAGCGTCTCTTCCATCACCTTCAACCTGCTTTCCAAAGCTGCAACATGGTCCCGCAACACTTGAATCTCTTCCATCACTTTGGCTTTGAAGCCCTTGGCCCGTACTTGTTCATCCTCGATGTTATTCTCAGATTCTTCTTCATCATCGGCTTCCCCAACTTCTTCCTCCTACATATGAAACATAAAGACTATAATGCGATGTTATGAAAATAAAATAACTTGAAGAAAATAAGATATAATATATCATCATGGTCCTTGAGAACCAATTCATTCAGCTTGTGTGAATGAAAGAATTCATAAGCCTTCCAGTTCATCATAGGAACATCTTCACTAGCAACACGTTCACCAAATTTCCCTCCTAGGTTAGGCACGTTTTCATACGCCCAAACCTATACAAAAAAAGTAATATGCCTGTCCGCCCAAAACATATACATACAAAGTCTGTCTGGCCAAAGAATGTTTGTCTACCCAATGAATTTGTCAGCCTGGAACATATACATGTCTGTCTTCATTAGTAACTGGTCTGTGTGAACATAGAAATGTCTGTCTCAACATTAAACTACAAATGAATGAGGAAAAATGACATTACCCGTGGGATTCGTGGACATCTATACAGAGTGAACTTAGCATTTTTGGTCTTGCTTTTCTTGAACCTGCCGGGCTGACCTTTCATTATACTTTTCATGTTTTCAACCATGATGTTTTAGGACTCCACACCCCACAGATACTTCTTAAATTTGTCGAACTCATCCGTCCATTTAACATAGTCCGAATTTATATTTGTTTTGTTATCCCTTGCACGTAAATTACTCACAACGTAACAAACCGACACTATGCTTCACAGGATCAGTGGGATCTCCTCTTTTTGAAGGCTTGAATGACCTGAGCCTTTCCTTCACAGTTTTGAACGTGATGTCCGTGGATCTACCGAAGTACTTGTCAAACAGCTTCCCCCGCATTTCTTCACCATCACAGAAGACTGGATTTTCCCCCGATGATTTGATCCTCGAGATGCGGCAGAAATCAGTGTAGGTAAACTTGAGCAACTGCTCTTGAATAAAAAAACCATAGCTCGTCTTCATGTTGCTCCCGAACTAGCCTCAACAAAAGAGAATGGATTATTTGACTAGAAAACTGTCTCTGGCACATAAATAAGGTGGCCCCATGGCGTCTTCTTAAACTCCTCCAACTGGTTCTTCGTCAATGTAGACTGCACCAAGCTTCCAGTCTCTTTGAAAAATGAGCAAACGAAATATTGGGCTCGAAATTGCTTCGACACGGAAATTTGTAGTTCAAATGCCCTGTATAATTTCAACAAATACATATCACAGATTTCAACCAAATCAGTGACATAACAAAGACCCATTTCACATTACAGAAAACTCAGAAGGAAGGCCAGCATTTTATATCACATGACAAACAACTACACAACAATTTAAACAATTCTATTTCATGTGAACAATTTGTTACAATACATTGATAGAGAAGTCAATTCACATGATAGAAAACTACAACCTAATTTTAAAGAATTCAAAATGACGTGACAGACAATTCAAATGAGTTGCTAGACAACTAATTTCACATGACAGACAATTACAAAACTAGTTTCAACCATTCAAAGTAAAATGACAGACAACTCAAATGGCTTGCCAGCAAGTTATTTCACATGACAGACAACTACAAACCAATTTTAAACAATTCGAATTGATGTGCCAGACAACTCATATGGCTTGCCAGACAACTACTTTCCAGACATTTTAAATCACATGACATTCAACTCACATGTATAAAAATAGTTCACAACCATGACAGACAACTTCAAACCACACACAACCAACTACTAAGTCATTACAAACGAAGCACAAACTACTTCAAACTACTCACAACCATAATGACAGACAACTCTAAAATTACAAAAGTTGTTCACACCAAATAAAATCAATCTAACAAAAATAGAACAACATGCATACCTTTTAGCCATTTCTGTTAAGCTTGTCCAAACCATAGAGCATGAAACCTTCACAACAAAGTGATTTTAAACTGATTTGACAACCTTCAAGTGTTTACGCCTTATAAGAGGGCTGAGGCGAACAGGGGTGAGGTTGGAGTGCTCTATGATGGCGATTGTAAACAAGAGTGTGCCGCTCGTCACTGGTGGCGACGGTTGTGGGGGATGCAACCGTTGGTTCGTGGGGGTGGGGACGAACGCTGCTATTTTGTGGCAGATGGGTTGGGTCGATGATTGTGGTTTTGGTCGGGGGGGGGGGGGGGGGGGTCGAAACGTGCTAGTGAGGGAAAAGGTGGGAGGCACGGGAGATTTGGAAATGGGTGTGAGAGGGGGAAGGTTGGGCACACGTGAGAGAGCAGAGGTGGGGAGGGTAAATTTTTGGAATGATTTTTATATGGGATGAAAATCTATAGCAAAATTGATTTTGATAATGGATGATTGGATTCTGTGTTAAATTTTCTACAAAAAATCTATCGGTACACATTTTTCATACACACTTATGTTTGTGAAGAGTATTTTTATGTCTGTATACAGACATAACGTATTTTCAAGCTGGATTGAATTTTCTACTAGTGTAGTACTCCTCCGGTTTTTAATAAACTTCACACTTTCTTTTTTGGGACGGTCTAAAATAAACTTCACA